AAAAAAAAAAAAAAAAAAAAACCACCTTTAAAGATAGCACAATAGGGCTGGTACAGGTCCACCCCTGTAAGACTGAAGCTAAACATCAACTAGAGAGTGAAATCCAGGACAGGCACCAAAACTACACAGAGAAACCCTGCCTCAAAAAAAAAAAAAAAAAAAAAAAAAAAAAATCACACTTACAGTAGATCCAGTTGTTAGAATTCCTGGCCATTCCCACTTCTACATGACCGCACATGCACAGTTCAGAAGCTAAGCAAGGGGCCTTATACTCTACGTAATCCATGTCCATGTGCTGCATGATCATGCAATTTGCACACAGCATGATCACGCAATCTATGCACATGCATGGTGTAGCTCCGTGAGCCCATATGTGCATGTGCAGGGGAATCCATAAGAAGTGGGACACAGACTTCTCCCCCTTCTTCTCCTTCTCCTCCCCGTCTTCTCTCTCTGCACATGTCTCCCACAGGCCTGGTCACACTCTCTTCTGTCCCTCTCTTCCCCTAATAAAGCTCTGACAGTGGGTTTTGTTGTGCCTCGTGGCCTTCTTTCTCGCATGGTAACAGCACCGCTTAATGAATAACGCAGCTCTGCCGCATTAAAACCAACACCAGTGTTTCCCTAAACTCATCCTGTGGTTCTTTTCCCAATCCCAGAATTGGGAAATTGGGATAGATACACTTAGAAGCTGGCATTGCTTCTCTGACCTGTTGAGTAAGGACTGTTGTGGTTGGAAATGACAAGTGGAAGTCTTAGAGTTGTCTCTTCTAGCTGCACTCCACTGGGCTACACCTGGCCTGGGCACCAGAGAGTAGCACCTAGCTCTAACCCAGCTTTTGTTTAGCAGACACCTTTTGTTTCTCTTGTTGCCCTCTATGTGAATCCTGTCTGGGAGTCTCCCAAGGATACAAAGGCCTATGGGAAACTTGGTTCAGGAAACCTGGAAAACTGTGGCCCCTGATGAATCAAGGAATTTGCACTTGGCATTGTATTTTGGGGAGCTCCTTTCAGGTTGTTTTGAACATATGAAAATCAACTGGCTAAACTGTAAATATAGAGAAAAATAAAAATGCCCTGGGACAAGGGAAAGTTTTCAGTCCTTAGAAACTGGATCCCCCTGCAGCCATGAAAGGCTAAATTCATTCTTAAGGTGCCTCTGAGTTTTCTCTCCAAGGATCTGCATTAACCCACACACCCATGCCACAACAATTAGTGAGAGCCTTTGACAAGGAAAATAGTGATTCAAAATTAGTATTGCATCCCAGAAGGAATTGCAGAAGTTAGTTCCATCATGAAGAACTTGAAAAATGCTGGGTGGTGGTTCCCACCACAACTACATCTCCCTTTAACTCTTCTATCTGGACAGTGCTGAAGACAGATGTATAATGAAAAACAATTGACTATCAAAAACTCATCAGGTAGTGACTCCAATTGCAGTTGCTGTACCAGATATGGTGTCCTTACTTGTGTTGATACTCCGACCTGCCCCTTGGGACTGCCCTGCGTCCTTAAAAAGCCTCTTCTTAAAGAAAAATTCCACCCCTTTCTCTCTATTCCCATGAGGCATGCACCCCTCAACCCCCCTCTCTCTCTCTCTTTCCCTCTTTCTCTCTTCTCTCCCTCTTTCCTATCTTCTCTTTGTCTCTCTATTTTAATAAACCATTTCTGTGCAGATGTAGCATCTGGGTTGTGAATATCCACCCATTGTCCCACTGCCATGCCTGCATGGAGTGGGTCACCCGCCAGCCCACCACTGCATCTGCCCAGCATGTCAGCATGTTTCCCTGCACTCACGGGATACCCCCTCCTCCTGCATAATAATTATGACAACTTGATCACATGAACACATCTCCTGGTGAATTATAAACAGCTTTTGATCTATCAAGTGTTTTTTTTTTTTTTCTCTCTCAATGTCTGTCCATAATGACCACCAGTGGCAGTTTGCTTTCAGGCCAGCAGGATAGCTTTGCTGTTTTACTTCAATGATATGTTACCTCTTCAGTCCTGTGTCATAACTTAGCTAGAAGGGATATTGATTGTGTGTCTATTCCATAAAATATCAAATTGCTGCACTATATTTGATGGGCCAAGTGACCAGGAAGTAGTAACCTCATTGAATTCATTGGTAACACATATGTGAATCAGAGGATGGGACATAAATCCAATCAAAATTCAAGGGCCTTCTACCTCAGTGAAATTCCTAGGAGTTCCCTGGTGTGGGACATGCAGAGATATTTCATCTAAGGTGAAGGATAAGTTATTCACCTTGCTCTTCCCACAACCAAGAAAGCCTTTTGGTTATTGGACCTATTTGGATTCTGGAGACAGCACATTCCTCACTTGGGTTTGTTTCTATGGTGCATCTACTAAGTGACATGGAAAGTGTCTACAGTTGTGTGTGGCCTGGAACAGGAGAAGGTTCAGGTTACTCTGCTGGCTGCTACACCACTTGAACCATATGATCCAGCAGACCCAATGGCACTTGCAGTGGCAGTGGCAGATTGTGATGCTGTTTGGAGCCTTTGGATGTCCCCTATAAGTGAATCAAAGATGACTCTTTCGGGATTTCTGAGCAAGGCTCTACCATCATCTTCAGACAACTGTTCTCCTTTTAAGAGACAGTTTGAGACTGCTCTTGTGCCTTTGTAGAAACTGAACATTTGAAAATGTACCATGAAGTTACCATGCAACCCGGGCTGCCTATCATGAGCCTGCAGCAATCTATTATCAAATAAATCATCATGCCTTTAGGTTCGAACTTGTTAATATAGTTAAATGAAAATTAAAAACTTAGTAGCCTTGTGAGGCATTTCATTTCTACCCAGTTAGAAATGCAGCTTCCAGATGGCATCATCTGCAACAGTCACTTAACCACATCAAGGGACTGCCTTCTTTGCTTCCATCAGACCTGATCTAAGGTTTCCCAGGTTTTCTGAGAGAACTGGGTAGGGAGAGAAACAAGGGATAATGCCATGCACTCAGAGAAAAGATAAAGACTTAAACCTTAACATGGAGGCATTGAATTGTTTAATTTCATCTTAGATGAGTTAGGGAAGGGTATATTAAGGAAATGTATTGCCAAGCCAGAGGGACTAGATCCACCCTATTTCTGGGAAATGTATTCTTCCTTTGCGCTCTCTCTCTCTCTCTCTCTCTCTCTCTCTCTCTCTCTCTCTCTCAATTTCTTTCACTCTCTATCTTTTCCTCTAGAGCTCTTTCTACTTAGGTTATATTCATTTTATGGTTTATATTGTTCTCATCACCCTTAATCTCTTATATTCAAATAACTGATGTAACAGTAGGATGTGTATCCTTGTGTGTTAACATGTGTCACTGTAGGCAGGATTTGAGTTTTCAACAGTCCAGACCAAAACAAGTGTTTCTTTCTGCCTGCCTGTGTATCAGGATATGAGACTCAGTGCCATGCCTGTCCACCATGATGCTGCTATTCATGATGATAGTAGACTAATCCTCTGTCACTCTAAGCAAGCCTCATAAGAGTCACTGGTCATAATGTTTCTTCACATCAATAGAAAAGTCACTAAGACAGGTTGTCTGTATAATATTTTGACGTATTATCTCTTTGTATCGTGCCCATGTCCAATGACATTGAGTAAGGCTTATTAAAAAGGAATGGACTATCCTGGCAAAACATATAGTCCATGGTGTGATTATTACTGATGACTCCTGCAGGACCATAGTGAAAAAGAGCAACAATAGGAGCAGGAATTAATGAAACCTGTGTGGTTTGAAATGTAAACAACACTGGGTAGTTTCAGAGGGCAGTCATGTGCTGAAACAGAGGCTGTAATTGCCAGGGAGGTTAGGGACATTAGAGAGCAGGCACCTCTCTTGCTTAGAAATGTAGAAGAGGTGTTGTAAGGGAACTGCCCACCCATCCAAGCATTTAAGTATGGGAGGAAAAGGAAGGTGATTCCTAGTCCGAAAAACAAACTTCACACAGAACATTCTACTGCTCTGCTCAAGTGGGGCCAGGTCCATTTAAAGCTAGAACCTCGTGTGGTGGTGTTATCTATGCGCTACTTTTTTCTTGAAAAAAGAAAGATGAAATGTTTAATGGTCAAAGCACGAGTGAGGAGACTGTGAGAGTTCATTATATGAATACATGATGATGAAGCCTGGGTTGCATTTCAAGACCAAAACGTGTTGAGATACCCAAGCTTTGAGACTCTGCATAGAAGAGAACAGCGGAGAAAAGAGAAAATAGAATAGCTGCATGAAGTTAGTGGAAGTAGCAAAGAGAGAGCTAGCTGTATGAGAAGTTGCAGTGAGAAAAAGCCATCTAAGCCCTTTGAAACTGAGGCCCCGGGTGTCTGAGACAGAGCTGCAAGATTTGACGTTTGCCCTGCAGAGTTTCAGTTTTGCCTTGGTCCAATATTCCCTTACTTCTTTGAAAGGGAAATGTATATTCTGTGCCATTGTGTATTGGGCATACATAGTTTGTGTTCTGATTTTACAAGATGGCACATTCAAAATATTGCCTTGATTTTCAGAAGAAACTTTGGACATTAGAACAGTGATGAGACTGTTACGTAATACGGAGAACTTTGAAGTTCTGCTGCATGCCAATCTCTGCAGGTCTGGGACAGTTCTGTGCTTGGTTGGGGTGGAAGCCAGAGATGGGAACCACAGAGCTGTGTCCCTTCACAACACTCTGTCCCTAAGGGAGCTGCAGCCTCACTAGCCAATCAGGGCTCCGGATAGACTTGCCTGACAGAATGGGGCGGGCACTTCCGGTCCGCCATGCTGCAGGGAGGCTCTGTGGTTCCGTGTGCTGCTCTGTGACCGGCTGCCGGGAGCTGTGAGGAGAGCGGGGCGAGCTCGGAATCCGCCATGGTGAGCACGGGCCGCCGGCCCCACGCGGGGAGGAGCCAAGGGAGCCGGAGTGGGTCCCGGGGCTGCGGGAACCGGCGGAGGCGGCGTCCGGTGAGGTCACGTGAGTTCCCTGAGGCTCCTGCTCTCCCTGCAGCTCTCGAGTCCTGTGGCCTCAGAATAACTTCCGGCTGCGGCTGCGGCTGCACTTAACGTGGGCTTGGGTGAACTGTGTGAGGATTTGTCCTTATTTCCCACGTCACTATGCAGTGCACGCGCATGCGCAGCTATCATCTTTGCTGTGAAAAGCAGTTAACTCGCAGAGTCCTGGTCACTCTGATGTCTTCTGGAAGTTCTGCACTGGGCACTGAACATTCAGGTTTAGGATCCGCCTGCAGTTAATTCTGTGCAGGGCGTAAATTCTGCGTCATTAACACATCTGCATGTAGATGCCAGGGTGGTCTAGTCACGTGTGTCAGCAAGGCCAGACTTACTGGGTTTCCTGGCCTCGTGTGTCACAATTGACTCTCTATTAATTGCGTCTTTATTTCTAAGTTTTCTCTTAGTTTTTCTTGATCTCTTTATTCTTTCCCAAATAGTACGTAGAAAGTTCTAGGCCAGCTACTGCTGCACAGTGAGAGCCTGAAAGGACTAAGCAGATGCCGTAACAGGCTGCTCAGTCTTCTCTCAGAGATCAGGCCTCAATTTCAGTTTCCTGAGACTTGTCCTGGCCTCCCACAAAATGAAAACTGTAACCCCCCAACCAGTAAATTCACATATTACATACCCTCACGCAGTCATAAGATGCAAAGGCTTGTACCACCCAGCTTGCGGTTTTTCCGTTTAAAAACCCCTCACCCTGAGAACTCAGGTCCGTCCTTCTCCACCTGCTAGTCAGAGTATTGGACACGGACCAAGCCTGGGCTTGCTTTGCTATCAATAAACCCCTTTGTGCTTGCATCCGATATCAGCTCTGTGGTGGTGGTGTTGGGGGTGAGGGCGGTTCTCGAGACATGGGCCCATCTCAGAAAACCTTAAAGAAAAGTATGTCTGTGTACTCTGTTTTGAGTCACATTCTTTCTGCCTGATAAAGTTCATGGAATTAAACTTGAGTTCCCTGCAAAAGCAGTATGTTCTTAACACCTGAGCCATCTCTTCAGCCAAAAATCCAAGTATTACATTTCTGTGACTTTGAAACATTTTTACTTTTTCAAACATTTAAAAGTTGGTTCGTTAATCAGTATGAAAGCATTCAAATAATTATGAGGATCAACTTAGTATGCCAGACTTTGTTGACTCCCCAAGGGGGGGGGGCTTACCCTCTCTGTGGAGTGGATGGGGGTAGGGTTATGGGGGGGGCAAGAGAAGGGGAGGGAGGGGAACTGGGATTGGTATGTAAAAATGAAAAAAAAAATTAATTAAAAAAAAAACAAAAAAAGAAAAAGAAATTCATATGATACACTAGTAAAATTACATTCAAGAGGGTACTCTACCTTTAACAAAACTTTCTGTTTGTCAGCTCCGTTACATTGAGACCAGGTCTCACTGCATAGTCCTAGCTGGCCTTGAATTCAAGATCTTTCTGCCTCTGACAATCTAGGATTAAAGGCCTAAGCTACTATACCTGGTCATATTTATAACATTTATGTAACATTTACATAAACTATCATAAGCTGATAGGTTAATAAGAAAAACAATTGCCTTCTAGATCTCAAGTAAACTGCCTTCACAGCATGCTTTTTAACATTGTCTGGGGCTTTCCCCATAGCTTTTATTTCAGTTTCTGTTAAGCTTTACTTGTTCATTTTATTTTTTGTTTGTGCATGACTCCATAAATGTATATGGTTGCTACTTCTCTCTGAGGCCAGAAAAAGGTTGGATTTATTGGAGTTATAGGCATGTAAGCCAACTGGCCTGTGTGTGGGACACCAGACTCAGGTCCTCTGCAAGAGCAACACAGTCTTAAAAGCTGATCCTCCCCTGCAGGCACTGCAGGTTTCTAAAGCTGATGAGCCAGTACCCTTGGAAGATGGTTTTTTTTTTTGTTGTTGTTGTTGTTTTTTCTTAGTTGATTATCTTTTTTTCCTTTTATTTTATTTTACAATACCATTCAGTTAACTTTACTTTTCTAATGACATAAACCTAGCAGTCAAATAGCACCCACTCAATGCTATTTGATACTCTCAAAAAGACCAGGAGTCACTATAGAATTCTTGATCATAGTCATCATGGCTGTCTTCATGTTCACAAGTAAGATGGTGTAAATAAACACAAGCTTATGCTTTGAAATTGCCAGATGTTTGTTGTGTTTGAATGTGAAGATACTTGACCTCAGCAGGGTCATCTGGGAAGAGAAAGCCATCTTCATCCACCAATAACTTGCTTTCTGGTCTTTTTAGCAATTGCTTATATGTTGTGGCAATAGTACCACATGCAGCTCAGGCCCATCCATGAACTGTCAATAACTGTCCAGCCATTATATAATCACCATTAGCATGTGACTCCACCTTCTATTTTCCAAGTTCAGGTAGAAATGAGTAGCCATTTTTAGTCTGGATTCAGATAGCTCTAGTTCATTTTTTACCTCTCAAGATAGTATGTGAGTACTGTTAATGCCATCTCTCCTTCTAGAGTTTTAAATAAATTGGTTAGTGCATAATTAGGCATTAGACATTTTGGTTTTGCTGAAATAGCACTGGAAATACCAAGCACAGCTCATGCAGCTGGGAAAGAATTGGTAAGTGGATTTCTTTTTCCTGCCATGCCCTAGCTTGCTTAGGATGTAAAGTTAGCGTTTTCATAGATTATCATAAGTCCTCATTAGGAAATGGAGGGAATTTATGATAGGATATATTGTCAAATTCCTCACCCTATGATTCAGGGACATTCTTAGGAAATGGAGGATAGGTATTTAAAGGAGGTTCCAATAAGGGAGCTGAGGGAACTGTCACCACCTTGTAACTGGTGCTGTTTTTACTTGACCTATGTTATCTTTTTAGTTTTAATAATACTAATTGGCATATTCTGCTCATTGATTATGAGGCTCTGCTCTCAGGAATGTAAAATGATATAGAGAGGAACTGTAGGAGAAAATGCAGGAATGTCCTGGTGGTCAGTCTATCTTGTACACTGCACTTCTAAATAACAAGCATGGCCCACCATGCTCCTGAATATTCCCCAAAGTCAGAACATTGAATTATAAAGTAGCATGGGTAGTCAGTAGCTGGCCTGCTGACCTGTCTACACTCTCCACGTCGTCTTTTATGTGCTACTTCTGCATAGAGATCTGGTGGGTTGTATGACTGCTCACTTTTCAACCCAAGGTGATGTGCTAACCAATTATAGTCAATAGACTTCCACTGTATAAGTAGTTGCTCATGTGAAGTAAAGTACATGATGTTCCATGAAACCATCCCTGGAGTGGTTCTTCTCTATGTCCTTTACTGACCCATGGGCATTGTGGCCTTGTTGGGGGACACACAGGTAATAACTGTAACAGCAACTTGGCACCAAACATGGGGGATTTGTTTTTTCTTTTTTCTTTCAGGAAGGGTCTTACTAATTCATCCTTGCTTGCCTGAAACTTATGATGTAAAGCAGGTTCATCTATGCCTCCCCAGTGCTAATATTAAAAGTGTATGTCACTGTGCCCAGCCTCAGTGTTTACTATTAAAATGTCGCTACCTGGAGGATGGCGCTTGGTAAGGAAAAAACATGCAAGGCTAACCTCAGCTATTTACTGAACTTGAGGCCAACCTGAGCTACTTGAGACTATTTCCTTCCCAAACAAAAACAGCTATGTGCACTCATGCACAGTGTAATACCAGGACTCAGGAGGCAGAGACATAAGGATGGAAGCAAATTTAACCTAATGTTTGCATAGTTCTATTCCAACCAGGTCTACATAGGGAAACCTTGTCCCCTCAGCAAAACAGCAATAGATGTCATAACCCATGAAAATAGACTACCTACAAGTGGTTAAAGTGCTTGCTTCTGAGCCTGATGATTTGAGTTCAATCCCCAGGACCCACATGATGGAAAAAATGACTCACAATTTGTTCTTTTACTTCCACATGTGTGCAACACTTAAGACACCATGCATGGAAAACAGGGAATGTAGGTCATGGGTAGAATACCTGACCAAGCATGTGAAAGCTTTGGATCCTATCCTAGCACCTCAGAAAAACATCTTGATTAAGTCAGGATTCCTCTTTGCTGTCCCTGACCTCCTGCACCTCCCTGTGCAGCCCATGCTAGTCTGGGTGCTGGGATTACAGGCATGTGTCACCTAGTCGGCTTGGTATATTATGTAAAAATCTCTAAAGAGTTACAGTAAAGACTTCTGAATCAAACTGAAGTACTGACAGCAGAATGCATTTACACTCCTCTTGCCCCAGGAGTTCAATCCAGCAGGGCATAGGCTCTGGCAGCTCCTTTCTGTTCTCTCCAACTTCAGAGGTTACTAATCCAGGTTTCTATTGAATCCAGTTAAGATGAATCATCAATGTACTGGATAGCTTTATGACAACTTGACACAAGCTAGAGTCATTTGAGAGGAGAGAGCCTCAATTGAGGAAATGCTTCTATAAGATCTAGATGTAGGCAAGCCTGGAAGATATTTTTTTAATTAGTGATTGATTGGGAAATGCCCAGCCCATTGTGGATGGTGCCACCCATGGGCTGGTGGTCCTAGGTTTTATAAGAAAGCAGGCTGAGCCAAGCCATGGTGAACAGGCCAGGGGGCAGCACCTTCCATGGCCCCTGCATCAGCTCCTGCTTCCTGGTTCCCACCCTGCTTGAGTTCCTGTCATGCCTTCCTTCCTGAGCATGGGGAGCAGGAGCCCTTGTGTGGAAACATGCTTATTGTTGACCTCACCATGCAGAGAGCATAGCTCTACTGCTTTTATTGTCTCCATGGAAGGCAGATTTGCTGACCAGCTGAGCCCTAGTTTCTCTGTTATCTTCTCAAAGTTCTGAACTTCCCACTTAACACACAGGTGTAGGATCCCACTGGAATTAATTTTGTATGGACCTTAAAATCTGTGTTATTAATACATATCATAAATGCCACCATGTTCCATTCACATGTGTTAGTAAGGCCATACTTACTGTGTATTCTAGTCTCATTGGTTAACACTGACTATTTTAATTGTTTTCTTATGTCTCTTTGCTCTGGTGTTCTATTGATCTCTTTATTCTTCCCCAGACAGTAAATCTTTCTGGTAGTTAGTGTTCAAAGTTTTGAAGTCAGATGATGTCACTGTGTGTGCTGTTTATTCAATCTTACGTTGATCTCATTTTCATTCTTGATGACCTTTTGCCATCAGTTTTCTGTTGTTGATGGCACAAATTATTAGATTTTTATTGGATTTTATTGAATCTCTGGCTGAAATTCTCAATTCCTGTAATATTCTATTGACATAATATCCAAAAAGGCAGCAAAGCACAAGGTTGCTTTCTTACCAAGGTTGGCTCAGCTCCCTGCTTGGACTTTCCCATCCTCCATCAGACACACATCCCAGTGGGGTCCACACTTCTCAAAGTTTAAATGTGCATTATTAAACCCTTTTCTTTAAAAAGACAGTTTAGTTAGGTTAGCATGAATATAGGAGGAGATGGTACCTATGGCCTAGGCAGGTAGGTCCCACACTGCAAAGGAGTAGAGAAAAGAATGCTGTGATCTCAATCAGAGAAAGTTGAGTCCATCCATATATCTTACCATTCATATTATAACTGGAAGCCAAGCATTTTCTTCCAGGTGTTTCACCTCCTCAGCCTCCAGACACAAGATATTCCTTGACCCATTTTATCGCAGTAGATTATGGTCTGGGCTGTGATCAGATGGATCCGTGACTCTCCGTGTAGGCTGGAATTTTAAGACCTTCAGAATCCAACTTGCAAAACTAGTGAAATTGGATTTAAAACCTTAGTAGCCTTGTGAGGCACTTCTACCCAGTTAGAAATGCAGCTTCCAGATGGCATCATACACAGCAGTCACATTGAAGACATGAAGAGGCTGCCTTCACTGTTTCCAGCAGACCTGATCCCAGGTTTCTGGGTTCTCCAAGGGAACTTGATAGGGAGGGAAAGAAAGGATAATGCCATGGACTCAGAGAAAAGATAGGTACTTAAATCTAAGTTTGGAGGTCTTATGTTGTTTAGTCTTTTCTTAGATAATGTAGGGAAGGTTATATTGATAAAGCCTATAACCAGGCAAGAAGTACAGGCCCACCCCCAATTTGGGTTAATATTTTCTTCCTTTTAGTTCTCTCTCTCCCTGCTTGCCCATCCTCCACCCCTTTCCTTTCCCTCTCCCTCCCTATTGTTCTCACTCCCTGTTTTTTCTTCAATTTATTTCACTCTTTTCTTTTAGAGTTCTTTCTACTTAGGTTACATTTCTTTCATGGTTTATATTTGCCTCAGGCTCCTATCTTTGAATGTTCGGTCCTCAGTTAGTGGAACTAACTGTAAAACTAGGAGGTATGCCCTTGTGAGAGTAGGTGAGTCTTGTTTGTTAAGGTGGAACTATAGGTGGGCTTTGAGGTTTCAAAAGCCCAAGTGAAGAAAGTGTTTCTTTCTGCTTGCCTGTCTGTGTATCAGGATGTTAGTCTCAACACCATGCACGCCTACCTTGATGCTGCCATTCATGATGATAATGAACTAATCCTCTGTGTAATCAAGCCCCCAATTAAGAACCTTGCATTATAGCAGTCACCTTGGTCATAGTGTTTCTTCACAGCAATGGGCCAGTAACTAAGATAGATATTTTTTTTTTTTAGTAAATTTATTTTACAACATCATTCAGTTCAACATAATAGCCACAGATTCTCCTGTTCTCCCACTCTCGCCCCCCTCCCCCTCCGCCCACCCCACCCCCCATTCCCACCTCCTCCAGATCAAGGTCTCCCCCGAGGACCGGGATCGACCTGGTAGACTCAGTCCCTCCAGGACCAGTCCCCCCCTCCCAGACCGAGCCAAGCGTCCCTGCATAGGTCCCAGGATTCAAACAGCCAACTCATGCAACGAGCCCAGGACCCAGCACCACCGCACAGCTGCCTCCCAAACAGATCAAGCCAAATGACTGTCTCACCCGTTCAGGGGGCCTGATCCAGTTGGGGGCCCCTCAGCCTTTGGTTCATTGT